CATTTAAAAGTATTATGAAAGTTCAACGAGTTGGTAGTGCAAAAATAATGTTGCACTTGTGATTCAGAGTCTAGTTCAACAGCCTGTTGGGTTGTTTTTATTTTTAATAAAAACCATTGGACCCAAAACTATTTTAACCTTGAACAAACATGCCAAAAACAAGGATACTTTGGCCTCTGCTTTATTCAATGACTATTCTGGTTTTTGTGTGTTTTGTTCTTCTAGTTGGACAGTGGGCTAAATTTCAATCTGCCTTCAGATTCAAGCAGCCAGATGTTATCATCCACATCAACCAGTGGCCCAGGAAGTCCCCGCACCACACCACGTTCTTCAGTCTGCAGGATAACGGTTGTTGCACGGGCGTAACTTTCTGAAGGACTGGGGGACTGGGGACACCAACTTTGGCCCAGCAATTATTTCAATACATAGATTTTGGCCTCAGCAATATGTGAGACAAATTTCTAAATTTGATTTTGCCGCTTTTGAAGGAGGATAATCACTGATGTAGCTGAAAGGGAGACATCCATCAATCAATCCTAATTTTTCTAGATGGATGAATGAGACTGAAAATGTGTCCATATTACGGAGGCATAATATCTTACTGTCGCATCGGAATCTGCTGTTATTCATTCTTTATTTAATACATTCATGTCTTACTACCCATAAATATAAATATCAGTGTATTTTTATTCTTTTGAGTTCTAAACTATAGGAAAGCTTCCAATAAATATATGTTTGAGCTCGTTTTTGGAAAATACAAACCCTATTGAAAGCATTTGTATGGAGTGTGCTGATGAAGGTTCTCAGTCATCTAGGTCATAGTCATTCCGTAAAAATTCAAAAAATATCCACTTGGAAACCAAGTCCAGTGGATATTTTTTGAATTTTTACGGAATTTGTATGGAGTAACTTTGTTGGTACTTCAGCCTTTAAAAAGTTCCCACCAACTGTCATCACAGAGTTACACTCTTGGGTTGTTGATGATCTTTTGGCTGTATTTTCTGACAGCAGCATCATGAATATGACTTTAAAGATGGACTTTATCACTGAAAAGGCTGTTGATGATGCCGGAGTGTCCAGAGACACTCAGAGTGCACACAGCCTTCTGGGAGCGATTTCTTGAACAGTGTGAAGGAGAAACAGAGCGATGGCTTAGGCCTGACTTTTCTGAGGCCTAAGTCTGAGTCACACCAGTAAAGCTATCAATGGCCTTTATTCTAGCATGCGTCAATGGTAATGACCATGTTGATACAGACATCTTGATGTCATCAGTGTGACCTTTCACCTTTTCAGTTAGCAGTTCCATTTCAAAAATGGCCGTATAATTATTGATTAAAAGATTCTGAACCTTTTTTATTTTAGCCTCCAATATCAGCCTCTTTCTATGAAATTATCTAGTTTTAGATAAAGTGTAGTTTATTATATGACCTCTTAAAATGGCTTTAAAAGCTTCCTATTTAACCACGGCAGCTGTTAGGGTCCTATTAGATTTTAAGTAGTAATCAATTTCCTTTCCTACATATTTAACGAAATTATAATCCAATAACATTCTGATTTGAGCTCCATCTGGGTGGGTCCCTAACAAGGGGTCCTATGAAGGTCCGTGATGGGACAACATCACACCGTCGTAGAAGCAGATATCTATTCTAGACGTCAGTATAGCTGAGATGATAAAATAATCAATACCAGAGAAAGTCTTATATTTACCGGAGTAACAGGAAAATCTGTTAGACTTAAAATGACTCCATACATCAATTAAATTGATTTCTTACATGAACTGGAGAATAATTGCTCTGATTTTATTATGAGTTTGGTCAACGCCTGTAGAGCGGTCATTAACTGGATCTAATGTGCACTTCCAGTCCCCTGCTATTAGATCTGATATCTATACCCTTTCTTCCCTTCCAGGGGCCTATAGAGGACATAAGAGACACCACCGTGAGATCAATAAACTCTCTTCTCTCTATAGGCCCATGGAGGGAAGAAAGGTTCAGATTAGTCGTAAGGAGTGAGCCTCCAATAATTAAATATCTTCTAAGTTTGTCTTCAATTCTGTTGCCCACTTGAAGAGGGACTGAACTGTGAATGAGGTTGAAAGATACGGTGCTATAGAGTCAGACCTCTGCCATATGCTTATTTAAACATGGTCTCCTTTAAAAAGACGTGATTCCTGTAAAACTTATAAAAACTATCAAACTTTTTAACCTGAATCTCTTCATTTATTCATGACTTCTTTTATTTTCTGCAAATCTCTACAATTCAAAGATGTAAATTTAAGTTTGACATGTTGTGTCATTTGAAAGTAGCAGCAAGCTTGGCTGAAAGTTTACCTGAACAAGGTTAACTGCTGAAAAGCAAAACACACAATGAACTCTTTGAACATCAAACTGAACCAAATGAGAGAACCCAGTTTCCACAATAAGTGCTTCTGCCCTGAAGTACGTCCACTTCCTTTCATCTTTAGGGCAGATCCTGGATCAGTTCGCTCTCGCTTTATGGCACCATTGGAAAAAACAAGACAGAAAGAGCACAGCTAAATCTGAGCTCCTCCTTTTATTTTAATATAGTTTCCAACCAATGGCGTAAGGACACAATAGACCCGTAGGCAACATTATCTGGGTGGGCCCCATATGAAGTAAAACACCCCTCCAACCAGCTACGCGCTGGATTACCCATAATTCCAAGGAGTATTCTAAAAAGAAAATACTCCAATACATTGTCTTTCAAGGTCTTTATTGCAGTTTGAAACATATGAGTGTATTTTTTACCAACAGGCTAATAATCTATACACAGTTATTACCATAGTAATGAAAAGTCCAGCAGTCTGCTTTGCTGTTGGCGTTGTGTTTAACGGCTCACCATCATGGTGAACTCCGCCATGTGTCGCGGTATAAATACGGTGCGGTCAGTCACTCTAGGATCAGGTGGGTTTAAGGTGAGTTTTTAGCACCATTACATCTGCAAAGAGACATCCTAGTCCACAACTGCTGAGGGGGCCCACCAGGTGTCAGTGACGGGGGGCCCCTAAGAGGTCGGGGGCCCCTAAGCAACTGTAGTCTCTAGTTACGCCAGTTTCCAACCCTTACAGGTTTTATAAGCAAGAAATAGAAAGAGGAAAATAAAATGCAGTTATTTTTGGATAATCTTTCTTCTTTAATCTTGTTCATGAACTTCTTTACATCTGATGAGTTTTAGAAAGTCAAGGTTTCATTCTTGAAGGTTACCAGCGATCTGATGCCATGCCTCAATCCCAGCTCCTTTCTCTGCTGCTTCCTCTTTTTGTTCACCTCTGTAGCCAAATCCTGGTGAAGCCGAACACATATGTTCTAGAACAGGATATCTTTTTTTTTCTTTGTAGCCTTGTTGACAGCGGTCTACTGTTAATAGTTCTAGAACTTCCTTATTAATGGCCTCAGTGGGTCTCCTGATCCCCTCTTTGGTCCAATGAGGAGCTGCTGCTCCAGAACAAAGGGAGCCTGAAGGTGCATATCTGTTCTCGGGAAATGCACAGGGGTCTGGATTCTCAGTTATGAGGCGTACATTATTAAAGCAGGATCTGGTTTCCATATTAATAACTTTGCCCTCCAGGCTTCGGTTTCTTTTTACCAACTTCTCCACTATAATTTTTCAACGGGCAGATTTCCTCCTCAGCCACGAACAGATGCGCCTGATTCTATCCGATTCTATTAGCACACTCGTTTAACCATTTTGTCATTTCTTCCTTTTCTTTAAGTTTGCATGTAAACTCTAAGTTGACAAGCGCAAGTCACTGCATCCATGTCCTCCAGGACTTTCTGCGAATGTTGCAGTCATTCCGCTATGAGTCTTGTTGCTGACGCTGGAGCTACATTCATCGGTGTGTTCGACGTCTTTTCCAGATCAACCAAACTCAGAAAGTTTCATCTGTGTGGCTGTTTTCTCCTTATCCTTCCTGTTCAAACTGAACTGAAAGAACAGTTCAGCAGAATGGAATTGAAAATGTTTCCTGGTAGGAAGTAAAACGTAACTTTTTTTGGAATGACAGCTGCTGTCAGAATGAATAGATTTAGATCTCATTTTAATCACACGAGTCAATAATTATTATGATCATCTCTTACATGTCACAACCGCTTATATGACAAAAACTAATTTTAAAATTACCTTTCAGTTTGATTACAAATATTTATTCAGATTAAAAACTATTTAAACTGAACACAAACTGGATAAAATATATACAAGTTCAAATATTTTGCACTTAGATAATAATATGATTATGCAGATGAATATCCATCATGTAAGGTTTATTTAACAGATTTGTGTTAAAAGCATTTTAAAAAGTAATGGTAATTTGTTCATGTATTTTTTGCGGTATTTTCTGCACATGGAGGCGACTGAAAACGTAGACTTTTTCCGTCCCGCTGTCCTCTAGCTTTAGCACCAAGTTCATGGAGGAGTGACCCTTCCATCCGTATCCATTTGCACCGGCGCTCCGAGACACTGAAAGTTGCATCTTTAGGATGCCTACTGAAAGTTGGATGCTCTGATATGATGAAATAATAAAATAAAGTTGTTTCTATTTGGCAGCTGCTCCATCATTCATGCTGACTGTGTTTGTGCAGGCGGGGCCGGTAAATGGGAGGGTGGAGGGAAGCAGATGTCCTGAGCTAATAGCTGCAGCCTTAATTGTCCCTTGAGAGTATCGGCCCTAAGAGATGGTTAGGCCCTCTGAATGCATTAGATGCAGATAGGAAAACATGGCACCGGATAAAGACAAGGCTTTCTGGATGCTCTCAGTGAATAAAAGAAAAGAAAAACTTGAAAGACCAATAATTTCTGCAGACATCCAACTGACTGGTGAGTTCATTTCCAAACGTTTTCTAAAGCAGCTTCTCAATCCTGGGCTGTCTGTTCCATGAGCAAAGCAGCTCCATGCTCCAGGAGTTGAACCGTGTTTCAGTCCCTTCATCTGAAAGACGGTGGATCTGTTTCATCCTCCCTCTGCATGATGCTGCATGTTCATCATCAGCAGGGGAAGCGGTGTTTCCAGCAGACCCGTCTGTCTCAGCAGAGCTTCTTTGTTATTCTCAGGGACATTATAAAAACAAATGTTGCTGCTAACGTCTTTTTAAATACTATTTTTTAACAGCTTTTAAATCAGTTCCTTGTTTTTTTCACTTAAATGTTTTATTTATTTGCTTTTGTTGTTTTACATCAATTTTAGACTAAATTGCACTTTTCATCTCTCTGCATGTTTTGCTGTTACTTCATTTGATCTTTTCTGTGATGTTTCTTTTCTAATTCACCTGAATAGAAAGGAAATAATGGACAGACTGACTCTAGTCACACATCTGGGAGTGGCATCACAGCTTTCATCCACAGAACAGATCTGCTGCTGTCTCTGGAACCGCTTGGCTTCAAATTGGTTTGACTGACAAAAATGAAATAAGAAAATCCCCTTAAAAGGGATATCAGAGTGAAAAGAAAAACAACAACAAAAGAAAACCTGGGTAAGCAAACGGTGAGGAGCTACAGAGACAAGAGGAGGCGTGGCATCAGAGGGAGGCAGAGAGACGGAGGAGAGTGGATCCTCCCTGCATCCTGAGATGCTGTGCTGGATGAGGGAGGATGAGATGTCGGTTCAGGAGCTGCTACAACGAGTGCAGTGTGTCATCGCACATGTCGGTGAGTCACAGCTCTCCCTGTTTGTGCATCTCTGCCTTTCAGCTTTATTCATTTGGAAATGGAAGGGCTTTAAAAATAAACAAAAGAAAACATTAAGCCTCAAAAATGTGAAGAGAACCATCGTCTGTTACGTCCTGGAAATACATCCTGCTTGGAGCTTCTGAAGCTGATTAAAGGGATGCAGGTCCCTCTCTCCCTGGGAGCTGATGGATGCAGAGGGATGAAGATAAATGGTTTAGTCTGTCAGGTTCTGTTAGGATGTGGCGCATTAATTCTGCTCCAGTAATCATCTCTCTCTGTTTTATACGATTCTCATCTTCTCTAGATTTTTCTTCCATTTATCCTTTATTTCCTCCTTTCCTCCTCAGCCTCTCTCTGCTTCATCATCCGGGTCATTTTCTGGCTGTCAGTGGAGAAGGTTAATGTGCTACACTCCAGGATGCTGGGGGTGGGGCTTCTTTTAGTGTTGCTATGGAAACAGAAATGAGTGTAAAAGTGTGGTTAGCTGATAACTGGATGAAGGCTGTGAGAGTTTGATGTTCTGTTGTGTAGATTTGGACCATTTCTGGGATGTTACGCTTTCCAGAACTTTCCTTATCTTCCCTACTTCCAGTTTTTTTCAGGGTTCGATATTTTCCGTTTCTTTAGAGTATTTTTTTGTTTATTGGTGTCTGCTTGTTTTCACTCATTTTCCATCATAATAAATATTAAATGCATTTGTCTCTTAATCTTTAGTTCCAAGTTTCTTTTTACTTTCACTTCTATGTCTGCATCAGTTCACCAGTCTGGTCCACATTTAGCTTTGTGTGTAACAACAAAACCTAAGGCACAAACACCAGTAATCTGATAAGTAACACCCACTGCAGGTTAGGAGGAGCTCCCTGTCTCTGGGGGGGGGGGTCACACCATTGGCGATTCTAGGATCAGAGATCTAGGTCTCCATACCCAGAATCTATTGGACCGGCATGAATTGAAACTTGCTGCTCAGCATAAATTATTGACTCCATTATTCACTAATGCATCAGATCTGGACTTTTGCTAAGTACCAAACAAACCAGCAGAAAGTTAAATTGTTTTTAAAAGAATATTTCAACCATTTAAAGCTTTTGAGTCAAACTGATTGAATTAGAACCAGATCAGTTCTAACTGTTTTTAGATCCTTTGGCCTGGTGGCTGCTCTCTCTCTCTCTCTCTCTCTCTCTCTCTGTCTCTCTCTCTGTCTCTCTCTCTGTCTCTCTCTCTCTCTCTCTCTCTCTCTGTCTCTCTCTCTGTCTCTCTCTGTCTCTCTCTCTCTCTGTCTCTCTCTCTGTCTCTCTCTCTGTCTCTCTCTCTGTCTCTCTCTCTCTCTCTCTGTCTCTCTGTCTCTGTCTCTCTCTCTCTCTCTCTGTCTCTCTCTGTCTCTCTCTCTCTCTCTCTCTGTCTCTCTCTCTCTCTCTCTCTCTCTCTCTCTCTGTCTCTCTCTCTCTCTCTCTCTGTTCTTCCTCTATTGTTCAGTGAAATGAAAACAGCAGTAAAGCTTAGAGACGATTAGGAAAAAGTAATAAAGATATCTGATATGTTGAGTGTGTGGGAGCTGCTGGAAAGCAGTTAAAATGGTAATAAGTACTTTATATAACCTCCATGACACGTAAAATCATCCACTAAATGGAAGTTTTTATTTTTCTGCCACTGTTCTGATGGTTTTCCTGACCTGGAACGTTGCACACAGCTTGCTCCTCCCTCTGCTCCTCCCTCTGCCAATCATAAAATGGATTTAAAGGCACACTATGCAACATTTTTCAGTTAATTAATGTGTTCCATAACGTTATGGATGATTAAATGATTCATTTCAGGTTGAACAAAGGTATTCTCGGCCGCCCTGGTGGTCTGTGGGGGAAATACTGCACTTGCAACTGCAGGAGCACCGACCCGCACCCACAGGCTCAGAAGTCTCGTGAGAGTCAGTCTTGCTTTACGGCGAGAACTGCTACACGCCCCCAGTTAAAAGCATTCTCGTTGCTAGCACAGTGGCAATCTTTGTGCAGTTATGCTACGTTCACGCAGCAAAAGCAGCAAAATCGCGTCTGCTGATTCCTTTTTGCTGCTTGTACCAGTTAGTTCTGACACACGGCTGAAGCAGCTTTGCTGCTCTGGCTGTGCGGTGCAAAAGTGTGTCTGAGGCGCGTTGGGCGGAGCTTCACTATCCTTTCTCTGCCTTGCAGCTATATTTGCTGTGATCAGTGGGAATAAAGTAGTTTTAATATGTTTTTAAGTGAGAAAATACACCTGAAAACGTAATCAGTGCAGTCAGTTCATTCAGATTATTATCCTGCCTTCAATATTTTTTCTGTCGGAGCCGCTCAGACCCCCACATACCAGCGGGGCGCCGACAGTATGGATCCCTTCATCAGCAGCGGTTCACCGCGGCAGCTGGTAGGTGTTTTTCATCTAAATAATCCAAACTGCATATTCTGCCGGCAGATTTCTGCATTTTAAGTTAATTTAGGCGTCAATAAACTGTTTAAGAGGAGTGATCATCAGCGCTGTGTCTCTCTCCCTGCATCAGATGCTTAGCCCGACGCCCGACGCGCTGCTTCAGCTGCTCAGACGTGCTGCGCCTGCTGCTCAATACGCGCCGCGGGACCTTTTGCTGCGCCTTGACGCGCGTCAACCATTGACTTTGCATGTAAACTCGCTGCTTCTGTCGCGCCAGCTACGTCCAGTGTGAACGCAGCATTAGTCATTCGCTGCTAAGCTCAAAACAACCGCGCCTGGCTTGACGGAGAAACCAGGAGAACAGCTGAGCATATTTACGACAGTGCACTTTTACTTTCGCCCTCTGGAGGGACCCTCACTGGAAAATCAACACCGGTTGCATAGTGTACCTTTAACTGGATTAATAGATGCAGATGATCTGAAACTTGCGCTCCAGAAAATGGACAAACAAAGTCTATGGAGGCCACAGCAAAGTCTCTCTTCCTTCACGCTGAACAGACTGACTAAGGAGGTTTGGTCTAATAGTTGGAATGACGACTTTGGCTGCGTCTCAATTCGCAGGCTACGTACTTCCGAGGACGCAGCCTGCGAATTGAGACGCAGCCTTTAAACTTAAATCCAGTCCCATCCGGTTGGTTCTGCTTCCTCAGTGTTTTATTGTTAAATCTGCTGCTTTCTCCTCTGACACATAATTCTCTAAAAATCCTTTTGCTTCATAAATTGGATTCTTTATATTTGCATTTAGGTTTGCAAAACCAGACCATGATTGTTTATGGTGCTGTTCTCAAATGTTGAGGTTACTTCACCCACTCTGCCCACTATTCCCAGTCAGTGACGTGAATCTCCCAGCCAGTTTCCCACTAGCCCTCTGTCTTTGTTGCCATGACATCAAAGCTGTATTCTCTCTGCTTCCTTTTCCTGTCTGTTTGCGGGGAGGGTTAGATGTTGGCGAGGGAACGGACCGTATATCCTTGGGAAAGTGTTTGTCTTCCGTTCAGTTGATTCCCGCTGATCACAACAATGCAGAACAATAGGACTGGATCCTCAGGCCAAACGGGAAACCGGTTTCATATTCCGGCCTCATTTTCTTTCTTCTTAGTTTGAGGAAAGCAACTCATCACCTGACAGATAAACTGGCAGAGGAGCAATTCCCTGCCTTCTAGCTAAGAGGTGGAATTAGGTGGAGATTCTGTCTCAGAGGAAACTGGTGTTGAATGGATTCCAGTCGCCTGCCTGTTCTACAGAAAAACAACCGCAGACCAGACAACTGCTGGCCATGAAGCTGAGGGAAATATTTCTAATCCTATTTATGGTCACCTTTCTGGACATTTAAGATAATCTGACTAAATTAGAGACTTTAATCATAGAGCTAAAATTAAAAAGAAAAATCTGTTTCATTTCAAACCAAATAAATCAGCTTAGATGTTTTCACATAGAAGTTCTATAACCAGAACTTGTTCTTTTCCCTCACAATAAACAAGGAAATAAAAATCAGTGACTTGTTTCCAAAATGTTGAATGTGAAAAAAGGCAGAAAAAAGTCCCTCAGAAAGACGTCTTCTACATTTGGACGCTGCTGATTTCTGCGTTCAAAACTTCTGGATGATTTCTGACTTCTGAATTCAGAGCAACAGATAAAACATTTCTTTAAAGCAAAAGATATGATCTGTAATGATCTAAACTGATCCAGGATCATAGATCTAATCAGATTGAAAGTTGAAAATGAGAAAATGTATTTTGGGCCTGAGGAGAATGAGGAGAGAGGGGAAGGAAAGCTGAGAGTAAACATGGACGGATGCAGAGAGGAGGGGAAGCCCCCGCCGCGTCATGACGTGCTGCTGAGGATATTGCTGTGAACTGCGGTAAAAGCTTAGCTGCTAAGAAAGTCACAAGGGAGGGAGAGATTCAGACCCCCGCCTGCTGCTGGCCCACAGCTCTGACTCCTCTAGTCTGGATTATACTGAGAAGGTGCAGGTTGGACCTGCTGCTCTACACCAGGCAGAGCCGAGGAGCACGGAGCCTTTCTGTGTGTTCTGGTTCTATATTTCCTGGACTAAATGCTAACAGAGCCGTGAAGAAACTCCAGCATCACCATGGGATCTGTGATATGTGAGTGATGGCTGCTGGTGCTGCTGGTTTAGGGTGAATGAGGTTGACTCTGTAACAAGATGCATCTTCTGAGGGGTGAAACAAACATGCATGGGGGGGGGGGGGGGGGGGGGGGGGGTCTATCGTTGGTACAGAATGACATAGAAAAGAGAAGAACGACATATTTTCCCTACACTGACTTCCACTATATGGAAGAAATACATGTCAAAGCAAAAGTTCAGTTTATTAAATGTTTTAAAGTTTAAAAACATGCATTCATATGATGCATAACTTACATTTATTTTATAAAAAAGCTTTAAAGTGTTGAAAAGCGTTATGGATCATCACACTCTCTGTATTAAACTAAATTACAATAAGGTTTGTCTGAGTCTGAGGGGATGAATGATGGAAACCAGTCCAATAAAGTTCCTGTCTCTC